ACGGTTGGTTCTTGCTCCCATTTATTTAATATTTATTCGCTTAGATTCATACTGTTATGCTATTTGTTTAGATATTTTGCTTATGCTGGTCTGTGACCGAATAAAGGAAATTCATTCATTCATTCAATACGTTACTATCCTCATGACTGTAGGAGACGACAAACGTGTTGTCATTTAAATTTCACAGATCTGCCCACACAAGGATGAGAACACATTCTGAACACGTAAGGAGAATTTGATACCTGCAAATAAAAGGAAAACATTAGCATTGCCAAAGGTTAATTCTTCATAGCCAAACATTTTATGGGTTCCGCAGAGGTAGATGTTAATAGCACTAAACAGGTGTTTACAGTATTTGTAGACCAAAGTGCAGACACAGTAGGCAGGTCACATTTTGACTCCCATCTGCGGTATTATCCTGTTATGCACATAGTATGTTGTCATGTCTGTTTTTAAATTTTCTTTGTCACTTCCTTACAGAAAAAAAAAATCACTTCAGCCTTTTGTCTTCTGCTATTCTTGGTACTTTTGCCGCCCTCAGAAGTGCAGGGAATCATGGCCCAGGAGAGGGCTTTCTCTGTGGCAAGCCGTAAATTGCGGTACACTACAGATGGGCCCAGACACTCGAATGAACTCATCACCTTATGACTTCATAAACATAATAAAATTAAGTGAGTTCACTTATCCCTTATGACCAAGTATTTTAAGCTCTACTGGTCCATTCACACATTGCTATGTGATTTTGTTATATGTTTGGAAGGCCTTTCAATTTTATCCTAGCCTTACTACTAAGAGTTTATACAGTGCAAGCACACATGGGAAAACACACAGTAAGTTTGAGTAAAAGAAAGTATCTGGATTAAAATTATGAACTATTCATTCTGTTTGAAAGGGATTTGAAGCTGGGTCTCACCAGTCTAAGCCTACCATGGCAACCAATACACGCTCAATGAATTTATAACTTTGTGTTAAAAACAATTAAGACTGTGATCCTATTCAAGCAAATTTGTTCCCGAGCAAAGATGCACATGACTGTGCCAGAAATCTTGATATATGTTCATAGGCTACAGCAATGAGAGTCGTGTGCAATTTTTCTGTACACCTGGAAACGACTTTAACAGAGAGCTCAGTAATGATAAAGCAATCTTCTATAATACAATAGTTTTAAAAAACAACAGCCATGAAATATAAAATCATTGGTCTCCTAAACTGCAGCTAATGCCATTTTAGTTGAAGTTTCAAAAATTGCAAGAAGATTAAGATAAATTTGGTCAATGCCACAGCCAGAGACTGCTACATAATGGTATGCTTGACACTATGGATGAATTGAATGAAGACCGAGACTGGGATCTACATTTGTAATTCACCCAAAGGACCAAATATTTTCTCAGGAAATAACACCTTGTGGAGGTGGTCACCTGTAACAGAGGATAACTACAGATGAAGTCAGGTTAATGCATTTGAGCAGCTAGCAATAACTTTGAGAATAAGGCTGCAATCCTATAGACACTTACCTGGGAATAAGCCCAATTAAATTCAGCTATGTTTGCTTCTGTGTATTGCACTATAACACTTAGACCAACTGTGTCTGTTAGTACAATATGTTATTTTCCCCCTCATTATGTGTACAAGTTGCTGATATGCACCAAATTTGTACCTAATAATGGAGCCTAGGTGCCAGTCACACCTATTGTGACTGTCTGCCTTACATGAGAACTGGACCTGACAATTTTGTTAGCAAGTTCTGGATTCTGAAATTGGGGGGTGGAGCATTATTTTAGAAGTGACATGCCAGATGACAACCAATGGTCCATTTTATAAAACCTTTTTACTGCAGAATTAATTTTTGAGTTGCTGATGAAGTAGGACATAGAGTCGACATCTTTTAAAAAGACAGTGCCTCTCTGCCTTTAACTCTCTTTTGTAGACATAAATCCAAAGATGAAACTTTTCCCAACCTGGGGGTGGCGAGGGATAAAGCTGTACCTGCTGCTTTCTGCCTGCAGTGCGGCAGACATTTCTGTCCATTAAAAGATGGCAACCCTATATGTAAGCTCAGGACATTTCTGTCCATTAAAAGATGGCAACCCTATATGTAAGCTCAGGTAGGTAGCCGTGTTGATCTGACGCAGTTGAAATATATAAAAAAATTGTCCAGTAGCACCTTAGAGACCAACTAAGTTTGTCTTAGTTGCCAGTAGGAGAACACTTCAGTCTCCCAGGACATTCAATACAGGATCTCAAAGCGGCTGTGTTATTACAAAAGCATTTCAGAAACAGACTCGAAAGAGAAGTTGCTGAATTACAACTTATCACTAAACTGAAATCTATGGAGAGACCTGGTCTTGATAGAGATATTGGATTCCTGTCTCATTACATATGCTAATCATCTGCATACTATCCCTTGCTTTTCCCTGTAGGACTAATTGCAGTTGTTAACAGTCGTCAAGAGGTTTACCATACCCATTCAGACAATCACCCATCTCCTACTACCCTCCTGAGAAAAAAAACCCACCCCACCCTCCCACTATATATAAGGGTCCGGTGACTTCTGTTTCAGTTTATCTGAAGAAGTGTGCATGCACACGAAAGCTTATACCAAGAACAAACTTAGTTGGTCCATATGTAAGCTGCAATTGTATTGGGCTGGGTACTCTTGGCAGTTGAAATTGGGTTCAATGTACAGTGGTACCTCGGGTTACATACGCTTCAGGTTACATACACTTCAGGTTACAGACTCCGCCAACCCAGAAATAGTACCTCAGGTTAAGAACTTTGCTTCAGGATGAGAACAGAAATCGTGCTCCGGCGGCAGGAGGCCCAATTAGCTAAAGTGGTGCTTCAGGTTAAGAACAGTTTCAGGTTAAGAACGGACCTCCGGAACGAATTAAGTACTTAACCCGAGGTACCACTGTATCTCATATGTGTATGCTTTTCATGTCACCCAAACAAGATTGTCTTCTTCAACTTTATTCCTACTTAGGCTCTGCACACACCAGAGTGTTAATCTGCACATGGATCACACATATCTGATTTCCCTATGTTTGCTTTTGTGCACATTTGTCCAAACATGAGTTCTTTTAATTTCCCTGTTTCCTTTCCACACTAGTAGGTTGTGCTTGATAGGATGCATTTGCACTGTCCGTTGTTGTTCCCTCCTCTCAAATAGCACTTTCCCACTGTCCCTGAGTTCTGGAACCCTGGGCTCCATTATGGTCATGCACACAGGCAATTGTTGATATGTGTGCATTGCTTTGGAAAAGAGAAAGAGAGATGCAATTTTCCGATAACCCATGTTTGCTTCTACAGTATTGCCTTCTACAATCTGGAAAGTGACACAGAAATGGCGATGGAGTAAGAGACAATGCGTGTACTTCTGTAAACCAAGAAAATCTTTAATAAAATTTATTTTAAGAAAAGAAATGGTGATGGAGGGGTGAGTGGCTTTCTCAATGTTCTCCCCTCATACGTTGGTTGACTTTGATTCAGCATTCATAAAGAACTCCCAAACTGCAGCCAAAATGTGTATATTTTGGGGGTGACAGCTAACACCCCTTATACTGGATCGGTATCTAAAATATAACATAAAAGGGCTTTTTTTGGTCCAAGATAATTTACGTTTTGAGGAATCCAGGGGAATGCTGATACTGCATGGGTTTCTGGAAAAGTAGGTTTTTATATACTGCAATGTTGCATGTTTCTCGGTGCTGTGTAACCATTTGTACTTTTTTGTGAACTGGTCATTTAACAAGTAAACAAGTGAATTTTTGTGAGTTTATATATTATGTATATTTGTAACAATGAAAAAAAAAAAAGTCAAGCCCAGAGGTGGCTTACAAAGTCAAGGTAATAATTAACATCATTTATCCAGGTCACAGAATCTAGCTATTCTTGGCACTGAAATAATGTTTCCTGGGCAAAGAATGTGCTGGATTCCATTTGTTATTTATTAATCGTACCTACGGGACCGCCTCTCCTGGTCTGTCCCACGGAGGACCTTACAGTCTTCAAAAAAAACCATCTTGGAGGTCCCGGGCCACAGGGAGGTTAGGCTGGCCTCAACCAGAGCCAGGGCCTTTTCGGCCGTGGCTCCGATCTGGTGGAACGCTCTGTCACAAGAGACTAGGGCCCTGCAAGAAAGAGCTCTTCCACCAGGCCTTAGGCCAAGGCACAGTCTGACCCCCTCCTTCTGTAATCCTCATAGAACTCTAGCCCAATGGTTGCCATTAATTTGATTCTGAATTGATTTTAGAATGAATTGATTTTAGAATGGATTTCAATTAATTGATTGTGATTTTATGTAAACTGTGTTACTTTTACTGTTGTCAGCTGCTCTGAGCCCGGCTTCGGCTGGGGAGGTCAGGATATAAATAAAATATTATTATTATTATTATTATTATTATTATTATTATTATTATTATTATTATTTCATCTTTCTGTTCTAGCATTCAGGAAACTCATCATGCTACCCCCATACAGTTGTACCTCAGGTTACATACGCTTCAGGTTACAGACTCCGCTAACCCAGAAATAGTGCTTCAGGTTAAAGAACTTTGCTTCAGGATGAGAACAGAAATCGTGCTCCGGTGGCACGGCGGCAGCAGGAGGCCCCATTAGCTAAAGTGGTGCTTCAGGTTAAAAACAGTTTCAGGTTAAGAACGGACCTCCGGAACGAATTAAGTACTTAACCCGAGGTACCACTGTACTTTGTTAGATCAGCAAGTCAACGCACCGTTTGAAATTCCCCCCAAGACTGCATGAGTTTTTCGCAACATAAACACCCTCCATTTATATTTGCCATGATGGTAGCGTGAAATTCTTCAGCTTCCAGGAGAGAGTGTCCTTTAGGCTGCCCTCCTTATTGTCCTTGTGGCCTCCAGACATTGCCAAGGTCACCCCGCTCTCTTCGCAGCATCTGATAATGTAGGAGGGAAAGAAGCATCTGAGAGGGCTGTGTTTCCTGGTCACCTCAGACAGGGGGCTGCAAAGTTCAGGAAATGAGCTTGGTCTGCTAGCTATTTCAAAATAGCCTTCATATGATGAAGGATTTATGTTGCCCACCCCCACCCCTTCAAATAAAAAGTACAGAGGGATGCATTTCATTGCTGCTCTCAAGCTTCTTGCACCGAAGCAAAGGACCATTATTGTCACAGTTGCGTGATCTGTCGGTGTCGCGTAGAGACCATCTTAAAAGTAAGTAAGGCGTTTTTGCTTGAGCTGCTCTCTGTATCATACATTTCATTGTTGTACGCAGCGAAAGGAGAGGTGCTGCTAAGCACACTAGAATGAATACGCTGTTTTAGTTCTTATTCATAAATGTAAGTCAGGGAAAGATGCCCAGTTTGACACCATTCTGCTAAAGCGTAGTACAGTTGGCATAGAAGAGATATTTTAGGATTATGTCCCTTACAGAAGCCAGCGGACAATATATCTCAGCCTGTCCCTGCGTAATAAAGACCAATGTGCCACGCAGTTAAATGAGTCACACTGCTAACATCTGTACCGTTTTGCACTTTATTTCTGCAAACTGTTTCATGGATTGTTCCCTATAGACGTGGCACCAAACAAAAGCGATAATGCTGCTTTTATCAGATATCTGTGTCCTCTGGTATTGGATGTTATATCATCCTATCTATTTGTCTATCAAGGAATCCAAAAGGTCAACTCGAAGCACATCTCCTTGCAGGTCAAAGCCAACTGGGGTGTGTACATCACAAAGTGTCTCTCATCCATCTGCAGCTGAACATGTGAGCAACCTGGAGATGAGATGACAGAAAAACATTTCTGATGGTTGTTTCATAAACACACCAGTTGGCACTACAGCCATCCGGTTAAGAACATATGTGTATGGACAACCCCCAAGTTGTACAGTCATACCTCGGAAGTCAAACAGAATCTGTTCCAGAAGTCCATTTGACTTCCAAAATGTTTGGAAACCAAAGTGCGGCTTCCAATTGGCTGCAGGAACGGCCTGCAGCCAATCGGAAGCCGCAGAAGGACACTGGACATTCACACTGGACATTCGGCTTCCAAAAATCGTTCGAAAACTGGAACATTCACTTCCGGGTTTTGATTGTTTGGGAGCCGATTTGTTCAGAAGCCAAGGCGTTCGGGATCCAAGGTATGACCGTACTTGCTTTGTTAGAACTTTATTCTTAGGTTAAAGCTTCAGTCTGCAATCCTATCCATGTCTACTCAGCAGCAAGTCCCATTAAGTTCAATGGGTATTACCCTTGGGGAAGTGGGTATATCATTACAGTCTAAATCTTAACTATCCCAAATTTTGTAACTGTTATATATTTGTTACTTTGTAAACCATTTCTTAAAACATTGCCTTCTGAAATCATTGAAAACGGAAGCTCTAGGTCACAATCTTGGAAAGCTTCACCAGGACACATTATTGAAATGTAGCCTAGTTCACATGTGCATTTTCCCAACGATTCCCCCTCCAGATAATAATTGATTATTGAAATTTCCTGTGCCTGTATCTGTCTACAACCTAGTTTGTGCATTATTTCTCCATACAATTGTGGGAACCTGCGCATGTACTGAGCTGTCCATGAACATGCATGCTTCCGACTGCAGAATCGTTGCCGTGATATCCATTGGATGGTATTTGACATATAAAATCAGCATTGATTTTAGTGCATCAGTAAAATTCAATATTTGCAGACAACAACAACGGAAAAGCAGCATTAAACACCATTCGAAAATAGCAGACACAAAACCTCCCAGTAAGAAAACTTGATCCAGAAAGTGCTAGCAATTTCTATAACTGCACTGGAATAAGATGGTCTTCATTAGCTTCTGAAGAGCAGAAGTGCCAATTAGAATGGCTGACCAAAAGTGCGTGGGCCAATCAAACTTTGCCAAGGAGGAAATTTCATGAGATAGCACCACCCCAAAAAAATATGTTGCCCGGTTCATGCTTAATAACATAAGAAACAAAAAAAAAGGGCTCTGCTATATCAGGCCTAATTGTCATCTAATCCAGAATCCTGTTCTCACAACGACCAACCTAGTACCTTTTGGGAAGTCCGTAAGCAGGACCTGAGCGCAATAGCCCTCTCCTGTTCCCCAGCAACTGATAAAATGTACAGCACTCTGGTACTTTATACGTTGAGTGGAATGTGGGTGGCTCTGTGGTCTAAACCACTGAACCTCTTGGGCATCCCAATCAGAAGGTCAGCGGTTTGAATCCCGTGACAGAGTGAGCTCCCGTTGCTCTGTCCCAGCTCCTGCCAAACTAGCAGTTCGAAAGCACACCAGTGCAAGTAGATAAATAGATACCACTCCGGCGGGAAGGTAAACGACGTTTCCGTGCACTGCTCTGGTTCGCCAGAAGCGGCTTAGTCATGCTGGCCACATGACCCAGAAGCTGTACACCGGCTCCCTCGGCCAATAAAGCGAGATGAGCACCGCAACCCCAGAGTCATCCACAACTAGACCTAATAGTCAGGGGTCCCGTTACCTTTACCTTTACACAGCCATCATGATTAGAAACCATGGGTAGACTTATCCCCCATTAATTCGCCTAATTTCCTTTTAAAGCAATCTTAGGCCGCCACTAAATCTTGGGGCAGAGAATTCCATAGATTAACTATGCATTGTGTAAAGAAGTACAGTGGTACCTCGGCTTAAGTACTTAATTCATTCTGGAGGTTCGTACTTAACCTGAAACTGTTCTTAACCTGAAGCACCACTTTAGCTAATGGGGCCTCCTGCTGCTGCCATGACGCCGGAGCATGATTTCTGTTCTCATCCTGAAGCAAAGTTCTTAATCCAAGGTACTATTTCTGGGTTAGCGGAGTCTGTAACCTGAAGAGTATGTAACCTGAAGCGTATGTAACCCGAGGTACCACTGTACTTCCTTTTGTCTTCTATCGCTCCACATGAATGTATGCCCAATTTCAGGGCTACTGCTTGCACAGATGGGGAAATACCTGCAAAAATCAACCCTATGTCATTTCGTTAGTCATTGCATTTGTCTAAGGCTGTAAAAATGCTTCAGAGGTCTAAGAACCAACATCAAACTATTATGCAGAAGACTTGATGCATCCTGGGGGAAAACATTCAAATTCTCAGACTCAAGCATCAATATTTTAGGAGCTGCAGTGACCTAGGGCTTGGTTCTTTTTTTTCTCTCCAGCTAAAAAACTTGTTCCATCAGTAGAAAAAAACCGGGGGGAGGTATCTCAGGAATACTTTCCTGGTACTCCATCCTTGCATCTAGAGTGTGCTCATTAAATCTGAACACACAAAAACGTCTTCTCAAGAGCCTTATGCAGGTTTTCATGAATGCTCGTTGATTTTAATGCAGGCTCTGAATAAGCCTTTTATTCCCACTGATATACCCAAACAGAGAATGTGTTTCAGGTTTACTTGCTTTAAGAAAGCAAGTAAAACCACATGGTTATATACCAGGGGTCAGCAAACTTTTTCAGCAGGGGGCCGGTCCACTGTCCCTCAGACCTTGTGGGGGGCCAGACTATATTTTGAAAAAATATAATAATGGATGAATTCCTATGCCCCACAAATAACCCAGAGATGCATTTTAAATAAAAGGACACATTCTAATCATGTAAAAACATGCTGATTCCCGGACAATCCAGGGGCTGGATTTAGAAGGCAAATGGGCTGGATCCGGCCTTAGTTTGCCCAGGCCTTAGTTTGCCTACCCATGTTATAGACAGCATATTCAGGAAAAGAATATGAATTCTTTGCAGCTACAGAATGCAGCATTTATTCATTGTACCTATATCTCACCTTTAGGGACGCGGGTGGCGCTGTGGGTAAAAGCCTCAGCACCTAGGGCTTCCCGATCGAAGGTCAGCGGTTCGAATCCCTGCGGTGGGGTGCGCTCCCGTTGCTCAGTCCCAGCGCCTGCCAACCTAGCAGTTCGAAAGCACCCCCGGGTGCAAGTAGATAATTAGGGACCGCTTACCAGCGGGAAGGTAAATGGCGTTTCCGTATGCTGCGCTGGCTCGCCAGATGCAGCTTTGTCACGCTGGCCACGTGACCCGGAAGTGTCTGCGGACAGCGCTGGCCCCCGGCCTCTTAAGTGAGATGGGTGCACAACCCTAGAGTCTGTCAAGACTGGCCCGTATGGGCAGGGATACCTTTACCTTTACCTTTATATCTCACCTTTTCCTCCAATGAGCTCAAGATGTACACATTTATCCCCTTCCTCATGTAATCCCTAGAACAACTTTGGGAAGTAGGCTAGTCTGCAAGGCAGTGAGCTTCATGGTTGAGTGGGAATTAAAACCCTGGTCTCCCAGGTCATAGTCCAACACTCTAAAAATGTAAAAGTATGAAGTCCTTTCTGGGATAAGCAAAATTTTGGTTGAAACAGTTTGTTGGCAAATAGCTTAGAGTGAATAAGGGCCTCTGGCAGCTAGCATCACATGGTTCCTTGGCTAGCCTTGTTGCAGACCATAGATGTAAGCTGATTTAACGATAGAAAACAAAAAGAAGGAAAAATGTTGGTAATAAGAGTTTGAAAAATAGCAACAATTTTGCTCCTCCGACCTGATTCAAAAGGAGCGATTGGCCAACAGCAAGTTTTTTCAGTTAAATCAAGAGATCTGCTTAATAAAGGATGAAGGTATCTGATGAAGAATTAGTTTGGTAAAGGCAGCGTAAAAACACATTTCTGACCTTCAAAACACACATCTGTGTTAATGTTTTTGAATGAGTTCGGGGGAGGGGGATGATTTGGCAAGTCTCCAACTTGGCAGAGAAAAATCTACTTGAAATGGATTAGAGTTTTTCTTTTACCCTCCTCTTCTCTCCCCCCCCCCCCCCGGACCCAGAGCAGATTTGCAACTACTTTTAAAACATTTATTAACTTAGAGAAGGGGAAGCAGGGACAATCAGGTGAAAGATAAACATGGAACAATCCTTAGCATTTGGGTATCACTTTCAAGTGTTCAAAGCACTTCACATGGATTATCTAGGTGCAATTCTTACAACAACCCTGGGAGGTAGACCCATGTTATTAACGCCCCCATATTGAGAAAGTGGCTTGCCTAAGGTGAGTTCATTGCAGTGGCAAGATTCAAACCAGGGACTTGCAGATTCATAGGACTTCTCCAGACAACCTGCTCCTTGCGTATTCACCCTGATATGCTTGCATTGTGTTCATATGTCTTCCCATTAACCATTGTGCACCCCACACTTTTCTGTGTCTT